AAAAAAAGTAGCACACGATGTGAAATAATTTATGCCCGAAGTGTTAAACAGACTTGCGTAGGATTATGGATGTTGTTAATCGCTTGATATTGAAAGAAACAAAAGTTGGTACAACCACTAAGGATGGTATTAAATGTCAATAAATTCTCCTCTGAATTGCCTTTTTATTTAGCGATGCCGCAGCAGAGTGGCCCCGCTAAGCTTAGCACACAAAATTTGCTTAAATAATGCATGATTATAATAACTAATGTTATTCAAGTCTATTCAGTTGATTCCGAGATAATCAATTATCCATAATTATAACAGCATTATAGAAATCGGCACTGTTTAGCTCAATATATTGTTTAATCATTTGGAATATTTAAAGCAATATTCCATTATAGAAACTTAGAATGCAGTTTTTACTCAGCCGTTAAATTATTCCACCTCATACAGCATTAGTAGAATAAATGAAATCCTAAGAAAAGCCTTGAAAAAAGTACACTCAGTTGCTTAAATGAATGAATAAAATAAACAAATCTACGGTATTACCTGCAATTGAAAATGATGAGTACTTAGGTTTCTCTCAAACGAGACCATAGCCAATCCTTGATCGGTGTACATTCGGCGAAGGCATGCAGTATACTGAAGAATTTCACGGCGGACGTAGTCTGGACAGGTGATCCAACTTTGGTGATGGCCTACCGTGAGTACAAGCACGTGTTGCGGAACGAGAGGTCCGCGTGGTAATGCGAGGTATGCCTGCTGACCGACGCTGATGACAAGATGCTTGGCAACTTCTGGATTTCCCAGACAAAACCAGCAAGCCGCATGTACACGAGGCTCTTAGAGATGGTTAAAGGAATTAAAGTATAAGTAGAAAAAGGTAAAATCTGGAAGGTCCGATATTCTGAATAGGTAAAATCAAGTTGTTCGTCCATTTCACAAAAGTATCGGGTTTCTATTCTATTTTTCATCCTAAGTGAACGAGATCTGTAACTTGCTCAATTCAAAAAACCTTTATTTATCTACTTTGAGTAACTTCAAAACTAATTAAATAATAATTAAGAATGTCAATACCAATTTAATTTTTTAAATACAACATCTAGGTCTCATGTAGGTAGCTGAAAAAATGATATTTAAATGCGAAACAGGAATTAAAATGAGGCTTCCCAATATTTTTATTAGCAGATACATACTACTATATTCAGTAGAATGACAGAATAAAACGCAAACAAGGAGGAAAACTTAATTTATCTTTTAAAGACCGAGAAGGTAAGTTTAGGTTTGGTCAATCTTTTTTAGCTATAGTGCTGGAAATCGTCATGAATATGGCAAGGGACACATAAATAGATAAGTTCCATAAGGCCATCGTCTCGTTCTGACCAAGTTGCGGTAACGAGGTCAAGTAAATAGTTTTAGTAATGATTCATGATAAATAAGCGAATTTTTGAGGCATCTACATTAGCATTAAGATCGTTCTTCCGCCCTAATGCAACTGTTGCAATATCTTTGTCGTCAATAACAGAAGCATATGATGGCCTGAAGCCGTTTTTGTTTGAGACATCAGCAAAGAAGCAAATGGCACATTCATTATTTCCATGTTGGTCGCCAGTTCAGAATATTGCCTGACAAATGATTTGATCTATAGCCTTATTATATTATTAGTTATACGAATTCCACCTATAACTAGATAAAGCCTAATAGCTAAATGTCTAATTGGAGACGTCTATCAATAGCTTACACTCATTCTACACGATATTAACGGTCCAGAAAATGGGATAGGATTGCTCGATATTTGTTCATATTGGGTAGGTTCCGATACTCCCAGTAAGTCTTGAATAAGATGGTCGCAAAAATTCAAGGAGGACAGATATCATTTCCTGCAACGATATGAGTAAACCTCAAGATTCCATTGAAATCCACTTCGTTTGCCTTCCAGAATGTGTTCACATGCCGGGTGGATTGAGTTTCGGCCTGTCTTATGTTAAAACATCACACCTAACGGGAACCGAAAACGGGTATCACAATGTATATTTTTTGTGATTTATGAATTCAATTCCCGTTGAGAGTTCTGATGTGATCCAGTGAGGTCAAAACTAAAGTAACCCCTGTAAGTAACTAACTTTTGCAAGGCAAAACAAAGTGAAATTTTTTGTCAGCGTGAAACGTGTTAATGGTATTGTTGGAAAAAATTTACTATCAGTCATTTATCACCCAATGCTTCTTAACATGGTTATGCTAGACATATATTTTAGTAATAAATTGGATATGAACTGAAAAAGCTCTAAGTCTACGTCAGGGTCACTGAACTGCGGACAACTGGCAATTGTATTTAAAATGCATAGAGAATTGGCATTCAAGAGATGAGGTCACCGGAAAATTCGCACGTTGGCTTTATAGGTCTGACAGAGTTATCTCATGCATCGTACACCTCTGTATTGATTTCGACAATAGTGCAAAGCAAACTAAATTAGCCCCGAAGTATTAATATGAAATCAGCGAGCATACTAATGCTATAAAAGATGACGCCCAAAATTCCAGAATCAGTGATCGCATTAGGTAGGAAAAGATTGAATTTCGAGCTTACTATAGGAAAGATGAAAAGACAAACTTAAACGAAGTAGAGTGAATATATCTCATAAAATTTAAAAGGTGGCGAATTGTGGAAAAAAAATATAGTTGTGCGTTGTGATGACAAGAAATTACAAGACACCGATTAGTGCTTACAGATAGTGCTTGAAGGAAGTTAGGAGGAATCAATTAAACTTTGCAATAGTTTGATGCTTTAATTCCACCAACAGCAGTCAGGAATTGATGGACAGATGTCTGCATTAGCTTATTTTCGAAGTAATTCCCACTAATAATGCCCTTTGTGACCTCCCTATGAGAAATAAATCAACCAAAATCTTTTAACACATTACGAGGTTCGAGATTTGACAAAACGAGGAATAGCAAGACTAGCCTATTCCAATGCAGAAATAATCCTCAAATCGTGCTGCTAGAAGTGCAGCAAAGCTAAAATTAGTCGTCAGTGTGCTAAAAGAACTTAAATCGAATTACAAGTGGCTTTCAAGTAGCATAATTGTATAATTTTCATGAAGGGAACACATATGTGATTTTAGGTTGGTGAAGTATTAACATTCTGTAGAGATGAATAATTAACAGGACAAAATTGCGCAACTAGGGCTTCAGAATGGCATGAACTATTAAAAATAAGATATTCTAAAGGATCCTGCCAGTACTTACACTCATAGAGATCTAGGTACCCAGCGTAAACTTTCTCTCAGCGTCTAATGTTCTTATATAGGAACTGTATTCACTCTAGGCCGCATGTGATTCATACGCAGCACCACCCGGGTTTTAATCTCGCTGGGGACATTGATAAGACCTAGGTGAGGTCGAAGCTGTAGTCAGTCCTGGATGAGATTACCTTTTGGGAAACAAGACTATGCAAATTGAGGACTGTGTTAGCATTTCCGGTAAAATTAAATCATCCGCCCTTCATCTCTTCATGTCACAAATATCGAAAAGAATTCTTATTCCGGATGAACTAGTAATTTCAAAACCTACGCATAAATCAAAACCAAGGTCAAATATATCGTATCGTCAAAACGAATTATTACAAGGTAGCCTCATTTTCGTAACTTAGCTTGTCAAAAAGACTTTAAAAAGCACACCCTATAGAGAATCCTTTGATATTTTTGCCATGGCCGACTTCAGTATTAGGCAAATGGCCAGATATAGGCACAAATTACAATACAGATACCTGGCAATGGGAAATACGTATTGACGGCTAATACGTTTTACTTTAAAAGGACGCATAACTTAAAAGCATCGGAATTCAAAAGTAATTCATAAAAAGGTTGGTCAGTGGAAGTGACGTAATTTGTAACTTTGATTATTACAAGATACATGTGATAAAATATTCATTCAACTGTTATAAATAAGAAAGAAGACCGAGTCTTAAAGACAGAAAATGCAGTACATTCCTCGAAGGTAAGATTAAGTTGAGAAAACTGAGTAAAACGAATGTTATCATAATTAGAAATTTAATTATTTTGTCAAATCAAAAATTCGTAGGTAGACCATGACATCTTCCTTGTTCAAAAGTGGGTGTTACTAGACGAATGGCAAGATGTATCCGTAATGAAGATTCGGAAATTCATGGAATGGTGATTACAAAGGATCATCGTGATTAGAGATGAAGAATGCCTAACCTTAGTAGATAGGATTAAGTAGGCAAAAAATGTACTATAGACATTGTTCGACCTTGTTTTCGCAACTTGGTCATATTGGTAGGAAGACTAATAGGAAAGCACCTTGTCCTGAGTCCATT